CACTCGCCTAACGGCTCGTGAAATTACGTATAACAATTTCGAAATATCACTCGTGGTATTTATGCCAAATATCACTACAAATCATGCTATTACCTATACTAATTAGCTGATTTAGAGGTATTTTTTCTATGGTGAAACTGATTGTAGGATGTGCCAGTCAAGATGACAGTTAAATTCACTGAAAAGGCACATGATAGGGTAAGCTATTCTACATTTAATACCATTAAATTCTTGATTCAAAGTAAAAGCACTGGAATCATTTGGGTAAGAGATAAAACAAACATGCATAGATCCACTGATCAGCCACCCAACCAATAACTCTTTTCCAGATCTATTATTATACCACATTCCTGCTGTCAGCAGTGGTTGTACTGGCTTTGGAGTCTCTTGTAGCAAATGGTAAACTTCAAACTAGTTGCACATATATGACTCAGCTCAAATTACATTCAAATTACACATAAACTTCATCTTTTTTAGCCTGTTATAAATTTAAGAGTACTAAATATTAATTAAAAACTACAATTTTGATCAAGAATGGAGAAAATTAAATCTAGGTGCATATGCTTTGCTGCAGGATATCAATTCCATTACAGTTTCACCTAATGACAAGCTCCTTGCAACTGGTTCACAAGATAAAACTGCAAGGGTAGGAAGACTGTAAATTATTGTTTTATTATTGATACTGCTTTTCTTATTATTGTTCTTATTACTGTTTTTATATAATGCTAGACATTTAACTTACATTTTTAATAACGTTTGTTAATTGTCGAGATTTTTTTATAATTTTTTTTGTTGTTAATGGCCCAAGCTAAGGCACTGATGATACATGAAGTAGAGTTGCAATAATTAGAAGTGATCATGATTATTTTTCTGCAGTTGAAAACTAATTGATTAATACTCTGTTATCATGCTCTCGAAAACTTGGCCTCTCAAGCATGTGAGGATAGGGTTTCAGGGAAGTGGGCTAGAAAATTGGGGTGAGGGAACTCCCTTGGTTCCCATTCTATGTCCCTAACTACGTTTTTTTGACCCAAGATACTAGAAGCAGTACATATAATAAGAAGAAGAAGAAAAAGAAGAGGAGGAGGAAGAAGAAAGTTCTTTTTTACAGATGGCCAGTGTCACACAATGTGGTTTTCAATAGGGCACTGCATATAAAAAATAAAATTGCTAAAATACAGTACTAAAAATGACAGAAACCTAATATTCAAAAATCAAATGAACTAAGAAAATTTCACACCTAGGAAATTGTAGTCTTTCAATGCACCATTAAAGTATCTCAGCAATCCCCTGTTAGTTTTGATCTAATAGTTCTAATAGATTCCTTGGAGCGAGAGTTATGGCTGTGATAGTCTAAACCTCGGATAATCGTGCTGTTTCTTTCACTGTCATTAATAATAAGACTTAAAAAGACAGTGTTGCATTTGCTTTCTGGTTTATAGATTCATCCATTTCAGATCTGAAACTACTTCAGTGGAAAAAAAGAATGCGGTGCTCAATCCAGAACTATCTTGGCTGCCTTACTTTTCATGACCATTGGTGACACAGATCTTCCTTGCATAAACTGGGAATCGATGTTTGATCATGTAGATGTTACAAAGTTAGAAACGAGGCAATAATGATAAATTTGAATTAACCTGTATTATATTATTCGCCACAGATATGGGTTATAGCAAGTGGTTCATCGTTAGGAACTTTACGTGGTCACAAGAAAGGTGTTTGGTGCGTAAAATTCTCACCTGTGGATCAGTGCCTAGCCACATCATCTGCTGATTCCACTATCAAGATATGGGCCTTGTCTGATCTGACATGTGTCAAGACATTTGAGGGACACACAAGTTCAGTTTTAAGGATATGCTTTATAACCAGAGGGATGCAGCTTATATCAAGGTACAACCTTTAGTATTAAACTAGAAGGTGGATGGTAAATTAATTGAAAAAAAAGTAGCAAAACAAAATAATCATTCTTCCAATAAAACTTCACATTCATTTTATAGCCAGTTGAAAAAAAACCTAATTTTTCACTGCACTACTCTTGGTTTCACTTTCCTGGTCATCTGAGGAATGAAATCCTCTCTAGGTGTCCCTTTGTGGCATTTTTGGACATACAACTTTAGTGATATAACACCACTTACAAACAAATTGCACTTCACTATATGGTGTAGCACTGTCTAGCTGAAAGCACTGAGATTGCAATTTGATATGTAATAATTGTTATTACTTAATACAACTTGAATGTCTTTTCACATGATAGACCTACTTAACTGAAGTGATAGGGACTTCCACAATAAAGATAACTTATTTTCCTGAAAGCTGGAGTCCTTTTAGTGATGTGGTTACTGCCTCAGCTGCGGTTGTTGCTGTTGAGTGATTTTGTGCGTTTTGAAATGGTTTGGCATGTATGTTTGACTTTCCAGTGGCTCTGAGGGTCTTCTCAAGTTATGGACAATAAAAACCAATGAATGCATCAAGACATTTGATCAGCATTTAGATAAGGTAACAGTAGTTCTAAACATCAAAACTGAAATTAAACCTAGTAAAAACAGGAAAGAATAAAAAAACATAAAATATCTTGGAAAAATAATGTTAACATTTTAAGAGGTGTTACTTAATATGCTCATCATGACATAAGATTGAGGTAGAAAAAAATTCCAGGGGCCCATTTCTCAAAAGTCCTGGTAACTTTTTGGGCCCAAAGGCAAATTTTAAAATAAAAACTGTTGGAATAGTACCACAGTTCCTACCTCACAAATTGGTGAATTTTGCTTCATTAACTGATAGTTTGATTGTATTATTTATAAAATTATTGAATTTTTGATCTTGAATGCAAACATGGCAAACATAAAACAGTTTTTCGGGCCTGAAAAGTGTTTGGTCTTTCAAGAAACAGGCCCCAGGTCCTTACAGAGACTTTTTCTTGAGAGACTGTGCAAACAATCCCCAATTTAAGTTTTAACCTAGAGTTTTAATAAAATTGCTCTTGACTTTTCCCAGTGATGTAAGATATATGTTTTGAGGCCGGGACATGGAAGGGTGAAAGGGTAGACTGCAAGGAAGGAGGAGACTCAGAGAGAAAGACAGCTGTCAATCAAAAGTTGTATTAGGAGTTAGTGCAAACTTGTGTTTCCTCTTTCCTTTCCACTTACCTCTGGCTCTGCAGTCTGAGACAACTGAGAGCGAGTCAGGGTTTAAAGACCATTTTATTATTTAATTATGGCAATTCTTAAAGTAATTAATGACAAAAACTGTTTAAAAATATTATGTGTGCTGTGTAGGTCTGGAGCATAGCAGTTAATAAAAGTCAAGATCAAATTGTTTCGGGAGGTGCTGATTCAGTGATTAACGTCTGGAAGGTAAACAACTTTTACTAATAATAGAAAAGTAGAAAAAGAAGCATAAATAACAGTAGAAAAAGAAGCATAAATAACAGTTTCGATTATCAACAAATAATTATTGTTGATAATTTCTGGGTTTGCAGGAAGTCTTTTTTGAGGGAATATTTTTTCTATTTTAATGAAGTACATGTATGGGCATGAATGTAGGTAAGACCATATTGATTGTACTACAACTACCAGAACTGTTCAGTCTTTCTTTATCCTGTAGTCAAATTGTGCATGAAGGATATCCTTCAGCATAAAACCTGATGTGAATACAGCAAGATAAGATTGTGTTTTAACACATGGGGCCCAAGCACTAGTGTAGGGTTCTTATTGCTCCCCAGTGGGGGTGGGGGGGGGACCTATGGATTTCAAGTGAGGGGGATGATCGAAGGACTTTTTTGGATTTGAAATTTTTGATTCTGGGATTATTTTGTGGGTGGAAAAATTTGGCAAGTATTTTTTGCGTGGCTTGATTTAAGTAGGGATATTTTGGATATTCAAACAATGCGAAGATTCGTGATGGTGCCCACATATCTCCAAAATTTATGAGGCTTGGAAATTTAACATGGGATTTTTTTTAGGTTTATGTTTGGTCCAGGGATTTTTGGGGGTTTTGATATTTGCTCCCATTTGATCATCCGTGCAGTTTGAAATCCAAAGTACCCTCTTTGGTATTGCTCTCTCAGGTGTTTTGCCTTATTGTCATTTTTTTTTCCTTTGCCAGGATGTGAGTGAAACTGAAAAGGAAGAGGCACAAGCTGCATTAGAAGAGAATGTGCTAAAGTGAGTTCTATGTGATATTATTATAATAGATATTATCTCTGAATCATTACAATAGAACTATTAAATAAAGTGTTTCAACTTTCTGTTTACAGTCTAATCTTATGTTTATCTTAATCTGCTTATCAGAGTTATGTAATTACATTAATTTAATGAAAAGCAAGTTTGTCTGCTCTCTATTCAAGATGACAGATTAAATCCTGCAGCTGATTGTAGATGAAAAATTACTTATGTTGATGAATTAATTTTTCGTGTACAATAACAGTTGCTTGGTTAATGTACAATGACTGGACAAACCTGTTGGCCTTCAAAAGAGCAATCTGATCGAATTCAAAGATGCATGGTAAAGGATCCAACCATTGTAGTCTTAATTCTGCTCTATTAATCATGGAGAAGGATGCTAACTAATGTAGTTTTAATATTGCTTATCACAGTCAATGAACCAACCATTGTTACGTAGTTATAGTATTGCTCTATACTTTTGGTGAAAAGTGCTTGGAGGTTGTCAACCCATTTGGTGATAAATTATATTGTCCCATACTAATCAGTTAAAGTATGTGGTCTGTGCTTGAGGGGCAACTTAAAGAAAACAAATCAGTTAGCCGTTTATACAGCAGAGGCGGCATAGCCCAGTGGTTAGAGCACTTGTCTTGTAATTCTGAGTTCCAGAGTTCAAGTCCCGCCCTGACTGCTAGCTGGGTTTGTTCACGGTAGTCCCCAGTTGAAATCCTCAACCATGCTTGCAAAAAGCCAGCTGGTTTGCCTCCAGCCAGTTGTGATTCTTAACCCTGTTATGTTTGGTGTAGACTATTTGTTTTAGCCATAAATATCCACCAGCACTAGTGCTATAAAATAATACTGCCGAGGGTGAGGGTGTAGCAGTTATCAATATTGTTTCCTCTGTTCATAAATATCTGTCTTTGAGATTTCTTAGCTAAACCAAAGTGGATGGAATTATCACTTAACAGCCGACAGCTAAGTTCTTTGTTGATGCTTTTAAAATACTGAAACTATTTTGGGAGCTAATAACATGCTAGATTGGTTAAATAATAATAATAATTAGTAGACTATATTACTAACCGTATATTGGCATTGAAAGTTATTAAGTTAATATTAAGTGTGCACAGACAACAGTGGCATATCATGCATGAATCATTGTGATGTATTTGTCTTGTAGACAGCAAGAGTTGTCCAATCTCGTCAGTGGTAAGAAATACCTTGAGGCTATAGCTTTGGCTATTACACTCAACCAGCCTTTTAGAGTTCTTAGCATCATTAAAGGTAACTGATCTCAAACTAAATTTTTTCCCTTTATTTAATTAAACAGGGTTAAATTATCACTTGAAAAACCACAAAGAACCATCTCTAGAGGGCTAAAAATACAGTCAAACCCCACTCAATGGATACCTGCTTAATATGGACACCTTGTTATCACAGGCAATTGGCTTTGTCCCCAGGGAAAGAAAGCCCTTCCTTATATTTTCTCTAAATTCAACCCACTTTGTACCCGTGGACACTTTCTATGGCCCCCTCAGTGTCCGCTGTATTAAGGGGGTTTGACGGCAGAGTCTTAAGACAAGATGTCACACCTCAATTTCAGCATTTGTAACCATTCTGTAATAAAAGCAGAATGGAGGCAAGTAATAATGAAATAATGTCCTCAAGATTAAGTTGTCAATAACTAACTGTGGCACTGATATTATGAAGATATCTCACATTTCTTTTAACTGTCCATCCATCGTACTTTTTTTTGTAACTATAAAGGTTAAATATTTTAACAAGATGAATTTTGTTGCACTGGAGGATTGGTTACTTGTACTCAAGCTTATTTGGAAATTGAATTTAGTTGGTGATTATATGTTTGCACTTCACTGTAGATGTTCTTCTTGTTCAGAATGGATTGGAAGAATTAACAAAGGCTGTTACATCTTTTAGGGAAGATCAGCTTGGTATGGCCAGTATTAAGTCAGTTTTTATTTTAGCTAGATAAATCGCTCTAATATACTTTCTTAAAATTATGCTGAAAAAATGACAGTACTAATTCTTCAATCATCAGTTTCCCTATTTATATGAAAACTAAGCTCTAGGCTTATCTTTTTAAGGATGCATTTGATTTGTAATTTTAGCATGTTAGCATGAATATTATTAGCATTTGCTTAACTTATTGTTAAATGGTAAGGTAGATTTTTACATAGTTAATAGTAGCTAAAGTATTGTAAAACACCATGGACAATTAATGGAGTATGGTGGACCATAAATGCATTTTAATTTTTCATTAAGTTTACCTTATCTGTGTTGTAGATGTCATCTTAAGGTTTCTTGTGGAATGGAATACCAACTCCAAGAATTGCCATGTTGCCCAGACAGGTGAGAATTGATTTACTACGGGTTGAAGGTATCTTTTCAACCTGTCCCTTACGAAATATTATATAATTAACAAATACAATAAACAATTATTTCAGAAATATTATGATAGTACCAGTAGGTTAATTATGGGGTGTATCCTAGCTACCATAGTTTGGATCCTATTAACTCTTCCTGAGATCTTATATCCCCTCAGTAGTAGCCTGTTCCAGGCTCTCAGATAGTAGGGAAGGCATGAAAGAGCAGGGAAGACGTTAGCCTGGGACCAGGCTCTGCAGTGGCTCTGCAGTCCCAAATAAAATCAACTTTTGGGCTTGTTAATAATTTCACCATTACAGTTATAATGACTCTTGATGGTGACTGTGCCTCATGTAGCACAAAGTATGTCCTGAGCCATGCCCATGATTTTTGTATCAGGGGAGGGCTGGGCTGATATGGGAGAGACTGTAAAAATGACAGTTTCCAGATTTAGATGTCCAGAGGGGTTGGCATTTCCGTTACCCCCCTGAAAGTTTATAGCTGAGCGAGTGACAAACTGAATTGCCAACGAGAACTACCGTAAATTGATCTGCAGTTCACAGTCAAAAAATCAAATTGGTAGTTCTTTTCTTGACATGCTAAAGTTGTATGTACATGCAGCACTACCTTTATGTAACTTTAGCTGTGTATATTCTTCTTTTTAGTTTTGTCAATTATTCTAAAAAACAAGACACCATATGAGTTGATGAACAGGCCAAATATGAAAGAGACTGTGGAGGCTCTCATCCCTTACAGTGGTTTGTTTTTAGTTCACAGTAACTGTTTCTATTTAGTCTGTCTTTGTTCTGGGTGACTTGAAGGCTGTAGGGAGCAAAAGTCAGTTTGACTTTGTGGGGGATCACGTTACATATGGCTCAAATCAAGGAAAAATTAAAATTAGGTTGAATTGTCAGGGTTGTGCTCTAAATTATTCTATGACTAATAACTATCACCTTAGTCAAGTTTGTTTTCCGCTTGTTTGTACAGCCAAGGGCTTTGCTGGAAACTTTTATGTCACACAACTTGTTTTAAGTCATTTACTTGCCTTTGTACTATGTAATAAAAGTTATCCCTAGCAAGGCACCAAAGGAATCAAGACCGAACCTTTTTAGCGTTAACTTGGAGTACTTCATCAAGTTGCTGTTGTTTTTTCTCCAGCAATCATATTGGCTGCATGGAAAACAGTCTAATAGCCTGCAAATGTGGACATATAATTATCTGGTCGTCGCTTCACCTTCTCTCCGAAGAGAAGGGATGAGCAAAAATAGGTCTGCGTACACAGGCTAACAGCCTTTCAGAAGAACAGGTTATTGGACGATTGTACCAGTGAGACCAATAACAAATCCTTTTGGCCAATGTTTCAGGAGAAAAGAAAATCTACAATAGGTTGTTACAATAGGTTGTGATCTGTTGTTAATCCTTTATGAACCAACACTAGTCTTGTTTTTCTTCCTAGTAGCGATCCTCTTTAAATAAGCAATTGGATCAGGGATGTCTATTTAAGCTAACCTGATTTATTCATCATTGCAGAAAAGCACTTTCAAAGGATGAATCGGCTTTTACAGGCAAGTTTGAGCTGTAAAGTGTTAAGTTAGTTTTGTCTGTTTTGCCAGAACATCATACTATGAGAGTTAATATAACTTACATGTACACTTTGTGATATTGTATAAAAATAATGCAGGTTATGTCAAAATTGGTGGAATGATCCATATTTTCGTGGCTGTGTATCAGCGTTCATTGCATTTTAAGGCAGAACATTGCAATCGCGATCACCAAAGGAGTTAATGCATACTGTGAAACCTGTATTAAGCGGACACCCTCTGTTAAGTGGACAGTAGCCAAAGTCCCCAAACTTATTTCCCTTATTTACTTTAAATGAAACCTTTATTAAGCGGACACTTCTATTAAGTGGACGCAGACACCTAAAAAGTACCTAAAAAGGGCCATTTCTATTGTTGCCAACCTGTATTAAACGGACACTTGTAATTAAATTCCACCACCCAACATGCCAGACACCGGAAATGCGAAAGATTGCCTCGAATTGCCACCCACAAATTTTTCAATTTTTACATTAAAAAACGTGACTTGACGAACTTATTTGATTAGTTTCACAGTACAGGATTGTTTTCTATTTCGTTTTGTTTGTATAGAGCTTGTTTCACTCATCTGATTTCTTCAAATTTGAGTTTCAATCCATGTTTATGGTACTATGATCAATATTGGTTCACTTTGATAAAGAAATTAATGCAAACATCTATCGTCATAGTTTCTGGGAGTATTATAAACGCTTCCACTGTTCATTTGAATGGCATTTGACACCTCATAAGACGTATTATATCGAAACCTGTATTAGGTGGACACCCTGTATTAAGCGGACACCACAGCATTCCCCGAGAGTGTCCGCTTAATACAGGTTTCACTGTATTCCAAAGCTTGATACAGTGCATGCATTATCAAAGATCTCTTGCAGATTTTTGTAGTCATTGCACAAATGGCAAGTCACACCACATTTTTTTTTCTCTTTGAAAATGACCATTGTGGTGTAACTTCACCTGTTTGAGATGCTCCAGCACATAAACATTTTTGTCATAAATTGTCGGCAGTTTAAATTTTATAAGACAAATGAACTTGTGTGGATCAGGACTGTAGTGTATGATGTTGCAATGGTGATGGCCATTGTGAGAAAGCTTTCAAAAACAAACTGTCTTCAATTTTGAGTTAGGTTTAGTCTATTCCTTAATTTGCTGGCCTCTTCTTGTTCATTAGTTCTTATTTTTTTCAACAGCAAATGGAGTTCATTGAGTACACCTGGCAATCAATGAAGCTTTCAGCTCCTCTCACCAGTCTCCCTCAGTAAACATCATTTTACTGTTTGTTCTTTGTTTTGTGTAATACGGTTCACTTTGCCAGTTTATTACATGTACAACTGAATTAAAGCTACTTTAGTTGCATTTAGTTGAAATTTATTTTATTTAACTCCTACACGTAGAAGTAATTGAGACGAATGCATCATGTTACTTCATTTTATTTAAACTGATGTTTAACTCCTTGATGTTTAACATTCCCCAGCAGCAGCCTTAGCTTGGGCTATGGTGATATGATCAATTCATTAAAAAGTCACTGTTGTTGATTTTAGGAGCATTGGAGAACCATCGCAAGCTGTATCTACTAGCAGTGGTGCTGAGGACTGCAGACTAACCAGGAGTACTGATAATTCACCAGAGGATCATCAGGCATCTGAAAACATTGATTTACCATCCTCTCCAGTGGAAGTAAACTACACAAATGGCCGACATACTGAAGAAACCTCAGAAGAAGAAGAGGAAATGAATAGAGAACACATGGCTGATGTTGAAGGTGAAACTGAGATACGTGTCATGAAAAAGCGCAAGAAAACAAAGAAGCTTCATGAGGTATTATGCGCAGTGACAAGGATATTTGACTCAGGTGTACAACAGGGGAGGTTTATAATTTTCCCAAAGGAAAAAAGTGGGTTCGAAGCTTGTTGAAGCCCTGAATTTTCTTAAGGCTTCTTTTTGCAATGTAACAAGTTGAATGTAAGCTTTAATACGCATTCATTCTGAACACCTGGAACAGGCTATTGATATTATGACTTTATTGTTTCTCTCACCAGTAGTGACTTGTTCAAGTTTTGTATATGAAGCCACAAGATTGTATACTGCATATGCTGGTATTTTTTGATACTAACTGAGGAACGTTTTTGTTGTTATTTATAGGACGTTCCACAAGAAAGGAAGAAAGCCAAACATAAAATACAGCAAAAAAAGACACTTACAAAGAAAATGAGAACTGAAACCAAGAAAGAACAGCAGAAGAAAAAGCGAAAAACAAAAACTGCCTAAAAATTCTTTATTAGATATCTCTCTTTGAATTCATGTAAATTATTTTTCAAATTCGATAATGCCATGCATCAATAAATATGTTCATATGAAAATCTTAAAATAGTCTGTACAATAACTCGCATGAAGGTTTTTATAGTACCTTACAACTTAAATGTTTGATGACCCTCACATTTTTTTATGTAAACTTTGACTCTTACTTCCCAAATACAATGACATTAAACTACTTGGAAAAACGTATGTACAGGTGGGTTATAAGGTACATGGTTCCCCTTTGTCTATCCACATCAGAGTTTCAAATTATATCTGTCACATGATAATTATTATGATTTTAACAATTATGCCTAAAAGATCAACTCTGCAAGTTAAAATCCTGCCATTCCCGTAAGGTTTCGAATTCTTTCGTACACAAGCCAGAATGTGAGTGACCAGGGAGCCTGAAACAACAACAACAACAAATAAGGTGTTAATAGGCCTTGCTGAGCTGAAAGTGTGGCAAATTCAAGCAATGGTGGTCAGATAGGGTTACCAGTTGTATTTAAGGAGTGCTAGGACTAAGTTGTGAATGTAACATTGTACGCTAAAACTGATTATAAAAAGCGGTCATGGTTTCCTTGATTTGCAAATTAAAACTACTGGTAACAATGACACAAATACATTTCTACGACAGCCACCAGAGCACATCAGGGATCTCACGTGTTAGTAAAATCAATAAGATGTACTGTCTTGGTGCTTAGCTATTTTCCTTTTGGGCCTGATAATCGTTTTTCACTACTGCTTTCATTGATACTGCGACATGGTAGGAACGTTTTTGCTATGTCATTTTGACATCAATTATTTCTTACCATTCTACTCCATGTTGGAAGCCATCCCTTGTACAAGGATAAAAACCCTTCCTCTCGAACCTAAGGTATGAAAAATATAGATTGTATCAGTCTGAGAGTTTCTCAGACTGTGGGTTTATTGAATTATTAACTTCCCTCTAGATTTAGGTAGTGTGCATGGGTACAGAAGATAGGTATATATTAAGTCAGCCAAGAGGGTGGGTAGAAAAATATGTGGCAATTTGGCGATTGTTAAGGTGAAAATCATCAGTGTTCTCTAAAACAGGGATGAGATGTCCAGTCATTTAATAATGTTGGTAGGTAAGTTCCATGGGTTGGTACTTTAGATGGGGTATGAAGTGTAGGTGGTGGGGTTTGGAAGTGGAATCAGTGGGTAGTTAAGTGCATGGGATGCATGCAGGAAGGTAAGTAGGATGGGTAGGTTGGTGAGGTGGGCAGGAAGGGCAGGTTGGTAGGGTACTGAGCATAAAGTAGGTAGGTGAGGGAAGGTATCTTACGTTGGTGATTACCTCGTAGGTATGTAGGGAGTAAGAAGTTGGTAAGCGGCTGTCAGTTTAACTTTGTTCTTATATTTCCCTCTGTTTTACAAATTTACATTTTTGTTGATTATTACTGTTGACTCAAGCAGAAAAGAAAGTGAGCCTAGGTGATAAAATAATTATTAATTGAATCACAATAATACATACAGCACACATGAAGCAGTCAAGACTTCCTCTGTACACTTTTGGGTTATTCATAATTCTTGTTTTTACTACATCTGCTGGAGTACTGATGGTTGCAGCAATCAGCCCTGCACAACCACTGAAAAATAAATTTTTCAACCAGCACAGATTTATTATCCATTCACTTTTTGTCTTAGTAAAGCACTTGAATTTTGTGTTGCAATATTCATGACCAAAACCTTTCAGCTACAATAGGCAACTCTTGCTGATGTCATTGTTTACATTCTTCCTCGCTAGTGTTAACTCATAGAAGCAATGCCCTTATATACAAACTAAATTTAAAAGTTCAAAGAGTTGATTAAATGCAATTTTCAGGAAATATTAGAACATGCAGACCTTGAAATTGTGTGAGTGACCCAATTGTCTTGTAAACTTGTGTGATTGAGTAGTAAATGTTTTACAGTATCATAAGTTGTCAAATCTGTTGATAAAAAAAATAAACAATCGTATTAAAAACATTTAATAGTACCTATTCCAAATAATTCAGTGGGCTAAAGAGAAATGTCATCAATCAGACAAGGTGTCTTAATCATCTCCTACATATACATCTCACCAACTGGCCCCTTTGTTCAAAAAGTGGATTATGCTATCCACTGGAAAAATCTCTATCCGGTGGATAGCGTATTGGTTTCCCCAACTTGTCCATTGGATAGTGATTTATCCGGTGGACTGTGCTACCCAATGTTTGAACAACTGAGGCCTGAAGGACAGATGTATGCTGAGCTACCACAAAATTTGGATCACTGAGAAACACTACCACAAATTGACTTTGTTTTCCTTTTAAAGTTTTTCTACAGAAATGAATGAATGAATAAAGTTGTGTAATTACAAGGATTATAACTAAGGTGTCTTACCTCCCATGTTTACTAGAGCTGCTCTTTGTACATTGGGAGCCCATCCTTTCCAAAGACCTCGCACTCCATGTTTATTGATGATGTTTAAAAAAGCATGTTTAGTGTTATGAACCCTAGGAAGGTATTGAATAAACGTTACATTAGTTTCTAGAAATGTGAAAAATAAATCAGGCTTACATGGAATAAACATTTATGGCATTAAAATTTGCACATCTTGACATCATGAGTTACAGTCTAAGAATAAAAGGACTATTATCCACAACTACAAGGTGAGCCTTACATTTTTAGTATCACCTCCAGATGTTACTATGTACAACACATTTCAGATTATCAAATCCTCTTAAACTCATTAAACTTGGGGTACATCTCAGGTGAGGTCCCCAGCTACCGTTTGTACCCTCCCCACTTCAGATACTGACCTCTTCCCCCAAAATTTATCCGATTTCCCCCAAAGCCAACATCCTTAATAGCCTCCTCTGCATGCATCACTTTCCTGTTTTAGAGAGTGGGTGGAAGAATGGGAGTGACTGTGACTCTTCCTCCAATTCTTTTCTCGTTTTCTCGTTCAAACACTTCTTATGGTCAGTGTAACTGTTACAATAGAAGTTGCCTGTGGAGGAGGCGTCGGAGGAGGCTACATTTTCCTTGATCTACCCCTTTAGAGTTGCGAAATACAGTTGCACTTCTCTTCACTGCAGACACCTCCATAATACAAACAACAGTACATTGAAGACAGCTCTTGAGCCCTGGCAAGTATTTGAACAGCTGAGCTTGGTTCTATATTTCCTTTTGTTTTCCATGAGGCTGAGCTGAGGTTCATGCTCATAGTGGCGGAGGGATTTTCCTCCTCCCGGCCCTTTCTGACAGCCCCAATGGACACTTGACTTCATCCCTGTAACATCTATATTCATTAAGAAGATTGATTGTATAAAAAATTATAAATTTTTAGTACCCTTTGAAAGACAACCTTAGCAAGTACTATGAGCTACATACCTAGGTTGTCTCCCTTCTATAAGAACTCTCTTGCCTTCCATCTGCATCTGAACCTTGACTAGATCAGTTGGACTGGCAATAAACTGTCCAAATGCACCAGCCGTCATCCCTGCTATTACTGATTTCCTATAGAAATTTATAATAAGAAATCCTTTCCTAGCTGTTATAACAGAGCTCCTGCTTAGCCAGAGCTAGAGGAGCTCCTCAAACT